ACTATTGTGCCTTGAAGGTTGGAGGCAGGCAACAGTTCTCTGGAGTTAATGGGGTGGCCACCGTTTGAACAGAGCACCTCATTTGGATGCTGGGCATTCCAGGTTCAGCCTGTAGCATCTCCTGTCAAAAAACATCCGAAAGGATGCCCCCCCCCCACCTAAAAAGGAGGACCAAAGAAAAAACGGATATATGCATAATATTTGCATATGTTCATAAGTTAAGAAACCTAAATAGAGATACAGCATATCTCCTGTGGCGGGGAAGGCTGCAGGCAGGTGCCTGGCTTGCTCTGCTGTCCATTTACTAACTCCTGGTGGGTCACTTCAAGGCCCTTCTTTAAACTGGACTGAACTGGGCAGCCTTTCAACTGTCTGCTGCAAAATAGAGTGTGTGGTCAATCCATCCTGAAGAGCTGCTGCCAGCCAAGAGCACAGTTCCAGGCTGAAAGGACTCCTGGCCCAACCTGGTATAGGGCACGTTCCTTCGCCGTAATGGGGCGATGATGAATTCATGCCATTTCGTGCTCCTCGTTGTTGCCTTTGGGTCAGCAGGCCCTGCCCTGCTTCTGGCACTTGCAAAACGTGGTGGGCTGTACTTGGAGATCAGGCAGAGGAAACAGTGGTGGTTTTACCATACCATGCTCAGTGCTTAAAATGATGGATTGCCTGTCTCTCATCAGTTTATATGCCCCATGGCATTCTCTCTTCTTCCCTCCTCCACCCACACCTCCCCCCTCCCCCCGGCCACACACACAAAGTACTACAGTGTCCTTTTGCTACCTGCACCAACAAAGCAGCTTTCAAAGCTCAGGTTTAATGTCAGATGGGAAGCTCCTGTTAAGGAGGAGAAAAAGGAAGTCTGTTGGGCTCTGCATGAGCCTTTCCATTCGGCTGGATGTGATTAACTGGATTGTAGCAATTGTGTCTAATTCAGAACAATGCACGTCTATGGGAATCAAACTAGGGTTTAATTCACAGCAGTGTGCCTATTAGCTCTTGTAGCTTATTTAATGGATGTCCTGCCTTTGAAAGACTGTCCCATTTCTGTATTGATTGATTGATTATGAATTGCTTACATTAAAAAGAATTCCTAAGTGCTGTACAAAATAGGTCTTCATGCCAGACCAGTGTTCCCTTTCCAGGAATGGCTGCTAGTGGCATGGAAAACCCGGACAGGTTGGTGCTCGCCTCCTGGGTAGTGCAGGAGTGCCAGAGGTAGGCCTGTCCACCAACGTCCTTGCGGGCTAGTTAAAGCCCATACGATCCAGAACTTGTGCTGGTGCACAAGCATCCTCAAATGCGAAGGAGAACAACTCGCTTGGCATCTCAGCTCCACTTGCAAAGATTGACGCGATATCAACACGCACATTTCGGATGCTGCAAATTCTTGCCCGTTTCTGCCTCCCTGCTGCTCTCCTGCCCTGCCCCGGAGCCACTGCAGCGTGGACAGGGTGGGCTCCTGCCAAGGCCCCACCCAGAGGGGCTTTCACGCTGACCTCAGCCCTGCTGCCATTGTTCTCGCCACGGCTGCCGGTTCAGCGGCCCTACTCTGAGCAGGCGAGCAAACGCAAGGGGAGAAACAGCAGTGCTGGCTCAGCGGCATGGCTTGGGCCCGAAGAAGCAGTGGAGCCGACTGGAGTCTGTTTTGGGTAAGGATGCGCTAAGGGACTCGCCCTGCCCAGCTCCCAGGCCACCCAAAGGCTGGCCCTGTCTGAGGTGCTGCTGCCCCTGGCAGTCCCTGGGATCTTTTCTACCCTTTCCGGTGGTAGAACTGAGTCTGTTGCAGCGAGCAAGCAATGCTTCCCTTGCGTCTTCAGCTTGATGGGTTCCCCACAGCCAGCCCAGCATGGACCAGTTGGGTTCACAGCTTCCCAAGCTATCCAGCTTCCATCCCACCCTCACTTTCTGCTTAACAGCGAAAGTTCCCGGTATTTCCATGGGAACCAGAGCACAGAAGGTGACTGAACAAGGGGAAGCCCTGGCATGGGACACTGATGCTGAAGAAGCCTGGGGTGGGGGAAGAAAAACCCGTGGCCCCTCTGCCTTCCTACAGGAGCACTTCACATGTTATGGTTTAGGAGTTCAGCTAAGATGCTTTGGAATGCATTTTCCATGCCATAGTCATGGCGTTTGTCCAGGTTAGATTACTGTAAGGTGCTCTGCCCTTGAAGACAGTCTGGGAAATTCAACCGGTATGGAGCACGGCGGCATGGGGGAAGTACGTGCTCGGATCAGATTTCAGGCTTTGCATTAGGTACAATTGGCTTCTTGTTTATTTCTGGACCCAATTTAAGCTGCTGTTTTTGGCCTCTGCAGCCGTAAATGGTTTTGGACCATGTTAGCTTAAGGAGCGGTTGGACCTACCGGACTTCGTCCATTAAGATCAGAAGCATTTTCTCTCTCTGGCTCACCACCACAAGCTGTTAGGTTGGTGGGTGCCCAGGAGAGGACTTCCTTCCCATACCTCTCCAACTCCCTCCCAGCATGATAGCTGTGGCATTCTTGCCTTGGGATTTTAAGGAAACTGCAAACAGAAGGCATGAGTATTTCATATAATGTTTGCCTGAATTGTGCTGTACTTGCAAAAAAATGTTTTTGTTATGTGTTTTGAGATTTATAGGGGGAAGGTGGGGGCAGAGAGATACATGTTGAAATTGTATTATGTGTTTCATAGTTTTGTAAATTGCCTTTTGGGGGCAATGAGAGAACATGAAAATCTAACATGTGCAGGCAAGGCCAAGTGGCTGTCATTTGTTCTTCAGTGGAGGGCCTCACCTTGCCTGCAGAAAAGCCCATGGTGGATATTTCCAATTAAAAGAAAATTTGTGGGGGAACAGCTGCCTTACCTAAGCCCCCCAATGCCCTGACAACATTATAGGCTCAGTTCATATATTGTCTTGCTTAGGTGCCCACTGGCCACATCTATATGCAATATATTTGAATTGTGGGGTGTTACCTGTCATTTGAAAACCCTTTTTTCCTTCCCTACTGTTACTCTCTCACACTGAGGATCCCCAAAAAGCCATACAGAATGCCGTGAATGACCTTTGTGCTCGTTTTTTACCTTTCCATTTATTCTTCAGTGTCTCCACAAGCAGAGCGCAAGGTGCACATCAAGATGTCGACCTGCTATTTACGTGTTAGAAATCACAGGCTTTCCACATCTGCTTCTAGTTGTCTTGACTAAAAATACAATAACGGCTTGAGTTAATGCCTCTTCTATCAGATATTTGATAGTCTAACATTAACACTTCATGTTTTCGGGTGGAATTTTTAGATATCCTGTCTTTCACTAGAAATGGTGCTAGTTCAGGCAGGAGTTACACAAGCAGCATCTTCTTTGGCAAGTGAAGGCGGGGTGCAAACCGGTCTCTCGCACCACAGCCGAGCGACCAGCTTTGCATGCAGCAGTTCTCAAATTCAGTCCCTGGTAACTGCAGTTGAATCCGGGATGGGGAAATCTGCGGCCCCCCAGGTGTTGCTATTCTCGCTTGGGCCTCGATAGCTGAACCCGGTAGCTGCAGCCAATGGGAGTCAGCACACCACTGTGCATGAGAAGAGGTGGGTGAGGCCTCCTGCCACCACCTGGCACCTGCTGTGCCTAAGAGGGATCTGCATGATGCCGGGGGTGGCGCCAGCAGAGGCACATGTGCTTAGAGGCCCCGCAGCCCGAGGGATGCATGCAGCACTGCTTGGGCTGAGCATCTTGGAGCGAGGAGCCCAGTGCGGCCCTCCGAGGGCCCTCCAGTGGCCAGGGCCCTTCGCTAATCATGGATCATTTGGGGACTTCCTGGCTTCAATGCAGCATCCCCCCCAATTCTAAATGGTTGAAATGCTTCTAAGGCAGAAAGAGTTTTAAGCTAAAACATGGTGGCTTTTATGGGGCTGCCTTGTCCTGCCCATCACTGGGATGTAGCCCCAGAGAGAGGTAACTTGGCCCCCAAGCCATGGGCGTCTACATGAGAGCAGGCACAGAAGAGTTCCTTTTCATGCTTGATGCTGGGGCAGGGCCGGCCCCACTCCCTGCCATCGCCTGGACTCCCCCAGAAGCCGGGCAGATCTGGTTTCAAGCTTTCGAAGCCCAGTCCTGCCCTCCTCACCACTGCCCCCCTGGGCTTTGTGGTGAGGAGAATTCCTATGGGCAAATTTCTGTACTGCCCAACAGCTGAAGCTCCCTGGGCACTTCGCTGCATTTTCTAAGGGCAATGGCAGAACCAGAGCTGTGTAGCTGCTCACAGCATGAGACTCGGACTCGGGCGATCGGGCGTTTGGTCCCCACGCAGCCAGAGGATCACGGTGACGCTGGGCCAGTCACAGACTCTCAGCCTGACCTTCCTCACGGGGTGTTTGTTGTGAGGATAAGAGCAGGACAGGGAGAAAGAGAATCATGTACGTTTCCTTGAGGTTCTTGGAAGGAAGAAAAGTGGGATGCAATATATAATTAATGAAACATCAACTTTCCAGTGTAAAAAATGTCAGGCTGCTTAACAGCTAAAAACAACATCAGTAAAAAATGCTAGAGATGTTTAAAAGACCAACAGCATAAATGCGGAGAAAATGTAAGTAGAGAGGACTTAGGGAATGGAGACACTTTAAGAACACTCTACACAAATGGGAAAAATTGTGGGTGTGCACCTATAGATATGAGGTGTGGGGGCAAGCCATGTGCAAGCACATCTCGCAGACAGCTGCCCACATCCGCAAGCTGCCTTCGTACCCTGTCAGGTATGTTACGCGGACCCTGCAGCAAACCTGCCTTTGCTGCTGTCTCATCTATAAACTGAACTCTTAAAGGTCAGAAGGGGAAGGCTGAGCCAAGCCGAGCCGAGCACTGCGGAGGAAGCCCGTGCAAGGAAAGCCGCACGCAGGGCGAGGCGCCCTGAGTGAAGCATGGCAGAGCTGCGCACAAAGAAAGCAACTCAAGGGGCGAAGCAGGACGGGCACATCCGTCAACAGCAGTATTTTTATCACTTGGCCCTTGTGCTTGGATACAGTAAGTTAACTTTGTGTGCTATTGCAGTTTTGCAATAGCTATTGCTATTTTCTTTGTTTTACACTGAACAGGGTGCGAGGAAAGAAGGATTTCTTTTCTTTAAAAAAAATAACAGCAAATACAGCTCTTCCTTCCCGTGCAAGTCCCTGCGTGCAATTTATATGCACAAGAAGGAAGGAAACGGAGGCAGAACTTAAAGACTCAGATGCAACAAGAGAAGACAGGGTGTTTTATTTAACTGCGCTGGGTCTCTACCCTGCCCCAGCCCTTCTGTTCATCAAGCAATTGCTATATGTGACACGCTTCAGCCGCCCTGCTTTAAATCACAAGCACTCTTACTACGAATTGACTAGCAAGAGGATGTCGGTTGCTGCTTTCCTCTGGTGACCACATCACAGGTGCACCTGCAGCGAAAAGCAGGGAGGTTTGCTTCTGTGAAACACTCTGTAAACAGCTATTAGCCAGAGCCAGAAAGAGCCTTGACTCTGCCTGCCTGCCTGCCTCCCTGCCTGCCTCCTTAGCACAGTTAGATGAGGGCGATAAGCGTCCTCTGCCGCGCATTGCTGGGCGTTGATTCCAGTTAAACTGCAGGAGCTGCATACATATTGCTGCTTGTAAATTAGAGGACCACCTTGCTGGATCGGACTGAAAGCGAATGTCGGTCCTAGCTTTCTCTTTTCCACAGGACCTGCCGGATAGCCGAGATTTATTTTGCCGCTTCCTAAGAGGAGTGCATGCCTTTGTCGGCTCTGCTGTGTAATCATGCTGGCATCCATGTGGATTTGGCAGGCTCCTCATCTGTGGAATCCGCCCAAGCTAAACTTGCGTTATACTGGTTTGCAAGCACCTCCACGCTCCCTGAAGCAGGCTGAGGAACGTCTGGCACTTCTGAGGTGCCCGGGGGGCTGCACCCTCTTCCCCCAGCCACACACACACCCCTCTCCCTGATGGCCAACCTTCTGATGATTTTCCACTTTTTGAATGTTTCCCTCATTCTTGGAAAGCCTCTCCCAAGGCATGCGTTACTTACAACCATGAAAAGGACTTTCAGTTGAAACACATCGTCATTTTGGCCTCATCCACCGTTTGGATGTAGGTCCTGAGTCCGTCTCTGAAAATGGGCCTGGCCTTGGGCTGAAAGGGGTCCCCCACCTCTGCCCCAAGGAGAAGTGCCAGCCCCATGCTCAGCACCCTTTTGGTTAAGCCACCCTTTTGAAAAGCTGCTGCTTCAGGCTTTCGCATGCCATGCATTGGATGGCTTCCTGTGACACAGAGGTGCCTAGTCCTTTCCCAGGAGCTTCCAAGGACCTCGTGCTCTGCCAGGCTGCTGCAGGCAGGGTCAGGGGTGGGGGCGCAGCAGTGGCAATTTGGGTCTCCCCATCCTATGTTTATTTTTCCCTCTGGACCTGGGAGTTCAAGGCTGGAGTCCTCTTAGATGGCAGGGATCCTGGCCTCTCCCTCCCTTTCCCACCATTGGAATGTCCTCTTTTTGACTTTGGGAAGCAAGTTCGTTCTGCGGTGGCAGGAAGGGGAGATGAGAAGATAGAATCCCTGTCTAAAGTTGTAAGGGCATCCATGGTCAGGAGCACAACTTCAACATATCCTTTGCCCTTGGGATGCTCTGGCAGGTATTATTGATTAGACTTCTAAGCCTTCAGATAACACAAACTATCTGCAGGTTCTATAATGCATTAAAAACACAAACTGGTGAATTAAAATAAGAAAATGGCAAAATAAGATCAGCAACAAGTGAAACAAAAAATGTAGATAAAGCAAACAGTAATTGAAAGTGCAGTGACTGAAAAGCACTAAGAGCTATTCTCAGAATGCTTAGGAGAAAGAAAGATGATCATTTAGGGGCCAGGCAAGCCTGCCTGGGGGGCACAGTTCATAGAGGGGTCCTAAAAGGTCCCTCCTTGTCTCACGGAAGGGGCTGCCTGGAAAAGGGCTTCAGGGAATTGCTTTAGAGTCCTGGTAGATAAATAGAACTGTATGGGATCATTTTAGGGCTGTTTCCCACCAGCTTTCCATCTTCCCACATGTGACATTTTGATTGGCATAATCAAGGTATTGCCCCATTGTGGAGTTTGGAATGAAATATGTGTGTGTGTAAAAAATTCTTGCAAAAATATAGTCATAAGCTGCAGTGACTAAATACAGGGTGGTGCAGGGAAACAAGAAATTTTAAATTGACATTCAATGCATGGATAAACACATTAAAAATAGATTTTATGGTGAAATGTACAGGATATGCAATGAATGCTGGTAATCCATATTCATTCAACATTCATTTTATGTCTTGAAGATAACATCATGAAGGTGTTGTCCATTTCTCCCTACGCATTCTGACAGCCTATTGTGGAAATTCTGTACTGCTTGACGTAACACGTCAGGGGGAATGCCAGCAATTCCCTCTTCAGTCCTTCTTTTTAGTTCAGCCATGCTTGGAAGACGTGTGTGGTACACTTTTCAGATGTCCCCACACAAAAAAATCACAGACAGCGAAACCTGGGGATCTTGGAGGCCATGGAACGTCACCGTCACATGAAATAATCGTCAAAGAGCTGCCATCGATTGTCGGGAAGTATGCAACGTGGCTCCATCTTGTTGCAACTGTTGAAGCTGCAGGTCTGACTTGCAGGGATGCGGGCTTTATCGCCCCAAATGTAGTGATGAGGCGTGTTGTCAAACGGAGCGGCGAGGGCTCCTCACGATGGCAGCTCGAACAGCCTCAATCTTCTCTGGTGTGCAGGCCATTCGAACACCTCCTGGGGACTCCTTTTTTAAGGCTGAACCCATTTCTTTGAGATCACACACCCACGTTGCAATTGTTTGAGCAGATGGGACACGATCACGATGTCCTAACTGGCAATGATGCCAAAATTTCCTTTGTGCAGCAGTCACACGATCACGATCCCTGTAAAAGGCTCTTAAAGCGAATGCTTGTTGTGCATCACTCCATTGCTCCATTCTAGCTAATGGCGAGGGGTTCTAAATGAGGTTGTGGTGGTTCCACACAATTGCTGATGCCCCAGGGTTGCCAACTCCTAGTTCCAAAATTTCCCTGCGCCACCCTGTGCAAAAGGCCAAACCATTGATAGCCTTTTAACCACAGTAAAAGATGAAAAAGAGCTAGGATAACATCAAGTTTAACATCATTATAGCCTGCACATTGAGATCCATTTTAACCTGGTACCAAAATTCCTAAGGGTAACTGGCAGGTGACAACCTATAGTTTATTTTCAGGGATGTTCTAAATTCAATTAACTGAGTGTACCCAAGACGTTACATGCTCCTAAGCAAGCTCCTTCTTTGGTCTCCTGATGCTTGTTTTGAATTGGACCAGTTGTACTTCTCCAGGTTATATATAGCCCAAACCAGAATCTACACAGATGTGCTTGGGGAGGAAGAGAATTTGAAGCAAAGTAAATCAATAAGCAACACAGATGACACCTGGGAGCTGTGAACTGGGCGATCTCTGGAATGAGGCAGCTGTTAGCCTAGGAGAGGAACCTTGTCTCTCTCAATGAAATGTGACAGCTAACGGGATTTGGGACCTGCCAACAGCTGGCACAGCCCAAAACCGACCAGGCGTCTTGGATCAGGGAAAAGCTAGTCAAATACCCTCCCCTGCTTTGTCTTGTCAGCTAGCGGAAGTCCTGAGCGGTGGAAGAGTCTTGGATTGCTGGGCTTGGCACAATCAAGGACTAGTACAAGGAAGGCAGCTGCCCTGCTGGAGTGCTGCCAACATGCGTGAACAGCCGGGGAAGGAGTGAGAGGTAGGCTGAGCTCTGCTGGGAGACTGCTGAGTAAACAGCACTGAATCATTCAGCAAGGGCAACCTTTGAAGAGGAAGGGCTCGCCCAGCCACAGCCCCCAGAGAGCTCAACCATTCGTCAGCCAGGCTGGTCTGTATCAAGGAAGCTTTTCCAGCAGTCTTCCTTTTCATCAGGAGCAGGTATTTTGGAAAGTGTGCGTGAAGTAGGGCACCTCACACCCCTAAAATATCTTAGATTTCAGTACATCACAAACACAGCCGAACATTCCAAATGCAGACCAAGAGCATCCACTAAAAAAGAGATGAGGACACTAAAATTTTCTCATAGCTGGTGGAAGATGTCGTAACTCCAGTCCGGGTGTCTGCATGGTGTCTTCAGTGTCTGTGAAGCATTTGATTCCCAAATAAAAGTGCTGGATAAAAGAGGGAGGAGGCATGTTCTAAAGATCAAGGTGCGTATCTGCTCAGAATGCACACCTTCTAGTGCAGGGTACCCCTTCGATGGAGCCCCATTTTCTCGGCACTGTTGCTTTACTTTCTTTGCTGTCTGGTGGTGTCTCTCTTCCTTGGAGATCAAATGGGTGTTGGTGACCCTGCAAAGCCCACCTACTGGGAGAAAGAGTGGGCTCTTTCAAAATGACTTCTGCTGTGCCACATAGCAGAGGATGATCTGGAGAGAAAGGAGATGGCATGCCTAGAAGCATCCTGAAGTGATAATAAAATCAATGCCCTCACAGAATAGCGTAATTTTAGGGCGGATTATCTATCCCAGATTACGTATGTTTGACCTTTCCTTCTATGAAATTTAAAATTGTATTTTAAGGGTTTAAATTATTATTTTAATATTTATATGGAAGCCAATTAGGAATTTTTAAAAATATTTTGCTGTATATATATGCCTTAAGAAATGGTGCCTGAGTTTGCTTCTCTCTTTCTCTTTCCTCCTCGTTCTCCTTTTGTGTCATGTCTTTTTACAAGGAGGGGGATTCATACTTCTATCAGTCTATGTAAGACACCCCCACCCTGCTTTTTTTTTTTTTTTTGTCTGAAAAGCAGGGGGAGAAGTGAAGGAAAGTCTCTGCCAGCTCATAAAGCAGCCTGCCACGCTGTCAAACAACTGATACTGTTGGGTTTCTCACAAAGAAGCTTCTGCAAAGGAGTTGCTTCCATGACTCCTTTTATTCCTCTGTTCTCCAAACTACTAGCATGAAATTCAAGGATCACCAAGTTGGAAGGGATCTTGGAGGTTATGCAGTCTGCAGCTTGTCCCTGGTGCTCAGTGCAGGAATCTTGCAAAATGGGCATCGCTGAGCTTTAAATACTCCTGTGAAGAGAACCCACAACACTCCCCATCTATTCCCCTGATTTAGCTGTTGTTTAATCTACATGCAAATTATGCAGAGCTAATCTATTAAACCTAATCCTAATTCACTGATTAAGAAATAATTTAACCAGATGATAAACCCTGCTCACAACTGCTATGGGAGAGTTCAAGCAGCAGCAAAAGGAGGGCTTGATTTTCATGAGCAGCAGCAGCAGCAGGAGCCTGGGGAAATGCTAATGCAGTTCCCAGATGGATTCTTGGCTGCATTTTCCAGTGGGTGCCAACAGCTCAACTTAGCCCACAAATGGAGTACTGAGTCCAGTTCTGGGCCTCACATTGCAAGAGAGACATAGCAAGGGCAGCACAGGGTCACGCGGATGGTGGCCAGATTGCGGGCATGCCGCATGAGCCGAGACCGAGCGAACCGGGGCTTTTCAGTTTGAAGAAGAGGAGACTCAGCAGGGGTCCGACTTACAGGTATGTGAAGGGGTGACACATGGTAGAGAGGCGTGACCTGTTCTCTCTTGTGCTGGAGAGAAGGACACAGTCCAATGAGGAAACTGGTTTTAGGCTGGATGCCAGGAAGTATTTCTTGATGGTTAGGACACCAAGGATATGGAATGGGCTTCCATGGGAAGTGATGGAGGCCCCATCAGTGAGGGCATTCAAGGAAAGATTGGGCAGAAAAAACCTGTTGCTTAGTATATGAGTGGAGCTGGCTTGTGCTGGGGTCAGACTAGGTGGCCCAGGAGGCCCCTTCTGACTTGCTGTTTCTATGGCCCAGAAACCACAGCCCACTGGAAGGGGCAGTCCAGGGTATTTGCAAAGTCAGACCCTAAGTTTAGATAGGCTGACATGCATAGTCTTGCTCAAACTTTTTGTCAGTCAAATTGGAATAGACAGAGAGCAATACCAAGAGATATTTTGAAAGGACAGAATTACTGGGAGTGTCAGCAGCAAGATGCAAACTGCATCTGCAGTCATTGCCCCCAAGTGCCTCGCAGTTTGCAAAAGCTTCAAGAAGTCCTCCCCGCCCACCCCCACCCTCACCCCCACCCCCACCTCATTACTGGTGCATCTCCTGGATTTGGCTAAGGCTGGAAAATACTGAGCAATCCTTGCACAGACATCTGTCCTTACAAAATACCTATTCTTGCTAACAAACAGAAATAATTTCTAGGGGAGAAAAATACCAAATAGGAGATGAATAGATTCCATAGAGAAGGAGGAGCTGGTCACTTTTGCATCACTAAAAAAGAGGACTTGTTTAGAAACCGCCCCCCCCCCAAAAAAAAACCCAGATTTGAATAAAATTGGACCTTCTGTATTTGTGTTTTTCATTTTTATCCCAATCTTCAACACAAAAAGGCTTCCAGAGGTAAGAAATAAGATGGTCACCACCTGCAGGCTTGCAGTCTGAACAACCATGGCACGAACCGCAAGGCCCTTGGCAGGCAGCGAGATCCACTTAGCTCTGTGGCTGTTTCCTTTTCAGTGCCTGGTCAGAACTCTTTTATTCACCTGGGTCTTTGCACAAATATTCCAGAAATCTCCTTTTTATGCTGTGTCGGTTGGTGTATGTTTTGACACTGTGTTTGTGTCTGCTGAATTCTAAGGTATTTGAGGGGTGCCAGGTGGACAGTCCAGTCCAAGTCTAGCTTAAGATTAGGGAGCTGGGAACTCTAAGGAGCTGGGAGGCCGTGGGCCCTGAAGGGCGGCGTGTCACAGATGTTCCCACCATAGTGAAATGTGCTGTATTTCCATTGCATTATAGCCATTCCTTTTAAAGGGGCATCTATAAATACAAATCGTATGCCAATATGGGCCCTCTTTTTTGCTGCAGTATTTCTTGTTTTTGCACTGTGTCAAGGCATTCTGGGTATTGCATTCTGCTATTTTCTAGGTCCGCTCCATATAAGCCACCACAAACACATTGGAGAAATGATGGGCTAGAAAAGTCTTGTGTTAATCCAACAAATAAATACATAGACTGTAACAATCATTCGTTACTGAGCGTATGCTACAAAGAAAGTGCAGAGAGGTGCCAGCAGAGGGCATCCCGTCCTCATTAACAAACGGAAGAAACTCCAATTAAGACAATGGAACTGACAAATGGATGTAAGTGAGCTGATTCCTTTCTTTGCTGTATTATCAAGGGCTCGTCCACAAACATTAAATAATAATCAGTTATGCAGACTCATATAGTGAACGTGTGAAGTGAAAGATAACAAAAAGTGCCCAGCGTCTATTTGTAACACATGAATGGAAACACAGATTAGCCAGTTTTACAAGGCAGTAGTGTATGTCTCCTCTGAATGACACTTCATCCAGTGCAGAAACTGAATGCTGCTATGCAGGTATAGTTTGATTTCAATAGTGTCGTGGTTAAATGCATGATTAGATTTACCTGCACTTGGCTTCCTAGCATTCCCCAGCCAGTCTTGGTAACTGTAGGATGTTTTTCTGTCTAAACACACAGAAGATTCCACCCTTTGGGGAATTTACCGAGCAATTGGATGCGTTCTGACTCAGAAGTGGGTCTCACGGAGCTGAATGGCACTTATTCCCCAGTGTAAAGTTTCAGGGTCTAGAATGCAATGCAGGAATGAGAAATCACTTAAAATATAGCTTTATTTTCAGAAATGTCTAAGAATCTTGCACAACAACCCACTTGTCTCTGGAGCTGCCCAGCTCAAAGCTAATTCTCAAATTACCAATCCTAACCCTAACTCCTTCAGAATAAGGAAATGTCACTAAATTATGAACTCATATCATTTATTTATTTATTTATTTATTTACGATATTTGTATGCCGTCCTTTGCGAGACCCTCAGGACACAAATAAAATTCCAAAATACATAACAATATAATATAAATAAATTGATGACCCACTCTGGCTGCAATTAAAATATGGTAATAAAATTCAATATTAAAACTTATTAAAATATTGATTAAATAAAAAGGTCTTAACCTGGCGCCGAAAAACATATAATGACTGCGCCAGGCAGACCTCTGGGGAGTGCATTCCACAGACGGGGCACCACCGCAGAGAAGGCCCTCCTCCAGGTACTCTGTCTCCTAATATCTTTCACGGAGGGTTCCCGAAGGAGGGCTTCTGCTGCCGATCTCAGGGGGCAAGAGGGCAAATAGGGAAGTAGGTGTTCCTTTAGGTATCCTGGTCCCAAGCCATTTAGGGCTTTATGGGTAATAACCAACACCTTGAATTGAGCCTGGACTTCGATGCACCCAGTGAGTGTGTAGAGCGGGGGTGGAGAAACTCAGGCCCAGGATCCAAATACGGCCTGCTTGAGACCCCCATCTGGCCCTCTGGGGTTCTCCTATATGGGCAGGCACCCTCCGGATCTTAGCCCTTTGCCCCAACCACCAATTGTGCTGTGGGTTCAGCTTTCTCCACATTCTGCAAGATTGAATCACCTGTTCTGTGGTTAAGTTTCTGGCAGTAAGAGATTCAAGTTAAAATGTGCTGGTACTCTTTGTATTTTGCCCCCTTCTTTAGCCCTGGGCTGCAGCCACCACTGGTATTTGGCCCCTGGGCTGAAAGACTTTCCACACCTTGGTGCAGAGCATCGCAGCTTTAATCAATGAACCAATGAAACGTGCCAACGAGTAAGACTACCCCACAAACGGATCGATGGATATTCTTATCCAGCCCACATTTGTTATGCTCACCTGTCATCCTTTTTTTCCCTTTTGTTATTTATTTGTGGTTTAACAGATGGGAAAAATCAACCAGCCTCTGTGAAGTTGCCCTACCTGGCATCCCAATCGCGTTTTCTTATTTGCCAAAGAATGGGAGCAACCAGAAGCGGCAATCTGCAAGCTCTGAGAAAGCAGCACTCATTCCAAGAAGAGCACCACAAGCAATTTGCTTACAGCTGAATCATGCATCACTCCTGTTGGCGCCACCTTAAAACATAATTGCCTTGATGAAAATGTCTCCCACAGGTTGCTTCCCTCCCCCTTTTAGCCATGCACTATTTGATCGAAAAGAAATTGCTTCAACACTCAAGAAACTGTTCGAGAAATTCTCATGGGCGGGGTTCAGGGTTCTTGTGCTTCTTTGGTTTATGAAGTGGCCAAGGCTCTTGGGTGGGAGTCCTTTCTTTCCTTGCATGGTCATCGCTCTGTCAGCCGGCTATGGGCCAAGCCCCCCCCACCCCCAGCTCCTCACATTTCAGTTCGAGCCCAGGAGACATCGTGGGACATTCTGAGATCCAGAAATGCAGGCAGGCAGAGTGGTGGAGAGTATGTTTGTGGCAGTGCAAATAACGACCCCCTAGGAGGAGTTGTGCTGCAACTCTGAGGTCTGCCCTACATGAGGGGCTTAGCCTGCCGCTTTACCAAGCCTCCTCCTCCCGTTGTCGTCGTGGAAGGAAAAGTGTGTCCTTTGCACATTTTTCCCTAGAGGTTTCTCTTTCTATGTATGGTACAAACAACCACAGATTGATGCTGTGGTACAGGTACACTATAATAGACCTTGGGCTTCTCATGAGGTTTTTGTTTCAGTGTGTTGCGGTTTAAAATGTAATGCCAGTGTTTCCTTGTGTTAAAAGGTCTGCTCAAAAGGAACACACGGGAAAAGCTCTGGAGGGCAAAAGCATTTTGGAAATGTCCCACAAACTTCCAGGAGCACAGGAAATGTGCTGAGAATTTCTTCTCCCCGAGATGCACTGAAATGCCCCCCCCCCCAATGTTTCCGCCTGCAAATAAGATGGAGAATGTGGGGAGACATTTGCACACTGCTATACTTGAGCAGGCATTGACTCTGGTGTGAGCAAAAGTCCTTTGTCAGAAGGGCACGTGCAGCTAGGTGGTCCTCAAACTCATGGGGGGCAGGCAGGAAAAGATGCTTGTGCCAGTCCCTTGTCTGAAGTGTGCATGGAGAGGGAGAGGAGCTTGGCTGTGACTTGTGGATATTAATCCCCTGGTGCCCCCCTCCCCCCACAATCTCAGAACTGCCATCATCTATGATCGTTATACATTCTTGTATGCTTTAAAAATAGTTCACACACTTAAACCAGTAGTATTGAATTGACTCTTTTGTTTGTCAGAAAGTCTGCAGCAGGTTTCTTGTTTCCCCAGTGGGGTGGTGCTGATATGTTTTGCACATCACCCTTGGAAACAATGGAAAAGTAACAGGGGAAAGAGAATGAGAGACAGAGAGCCACTGTACTGTGGTGACCATCAGCCCCTGCACAGGAAGAGTGCTCATCATAAGTGGAGCAGCAGGAATGGCAGCAGTCACCGCCACCTCCCCATCCTCCAACTCTACTGTTGCTAGATGGACTACTTTGACCAGAAGGAGGATGGGAAAGGTGACTCAGTCTCCTCCTCTCCCTGCCCACTGAGATGCTCCTGCCCAGGATCATTGTCCTGCCTTAGAGAAGAGCTGGCATGGGCCTTTGCAGCACACCTGTGGGAGGGACAGTGGTCCGAGTCCTGATTCCACACTCTCACCAGAAAATCCTATGGCCCCTGCAATACTGCCTAGGCACCACAGGATTGCTCCCTGCCCCGGTTCATGCAGCCTGCACTGCCAGCAGTCAGCACAGGGCTGCAGAAATCTATTTGCACTGGGCAAGCGGAGCCTCTCTGCTCGGGGGGTTGCCAGGTGCTGGGGAGGGGGATGGCGTTCTCCGGGAAATCTGGCTATGTACGTTTTCCTGGAGCAACTGTCTGTCGCCCAGGAAGGCTGATGCTATCCCAGAGACAGGATGTCAGGGCAAAAGGGCATACACGGAATTACATAAGGCCAAATGAAAGCTGTGGTTGTATCATTCATGCTTACTCAGTGTGCAGCAATGAGTCAGGCTGACTTTAGGGGATGTTGTGGATTCTTGTTACTCCCGTTGGGTTGTCTCCAGTGATCCTGCTGATTGTTCAGACCTCTTCCTTGGTGAATTAACTCCTGCTCCAGATACGGGCGTCCCTGCTGAACTGCAGGGGGCTGTGGGTTGGGGGCCTCTTTGCGTGTGTGTGTCTGAAAGCTGAGGAGCCACAGTAACCTTGAGACATGTGGGTGTTCAAAGGGAGCTACTGAATTGCTTGGGAATCAAAGCACAGATAGCAGCTGGACACTGGGAAACCTGCCTGGTTCTGCTCCAGGTGCTTGCAGTACATTTCACAAACTTAAATTAACCAGGGACATGGGCTTCTTCTGGCATCTCTGTTATGCATCCCTTCCAAGCACCCACAATTGTGCCGGTGATGAATCAAATGGGGAGCTAGGGGCCAAAACCTGGCTTGGGCAGAGTTCAACTAACTGTGTGGCATCTAAGGACAGAATAGCAATGAAGCAGGAAGGGGACTCTAAGGCCATCGAGTCCAGTCCCCTGGTCCGCTCCCACATGGGGCCACCCCTCCAGATGCAGGAGCTTAGCAAAGGTGACTTGGCATGCTAGCTCAATGTATAGCTGGCTATGCAGGCATATGTTGCATTGGCAGTCTGCCCAAATAGTGATCCATTTTAGGATGGGGTCCAAAAGAACTGGGAAGAATCCATTTGTGGTATCTCTGACGGGGGTGTTGAACCTCAAGCCTACAGCGAAATCTGGCCAGTGCAGCACCTCAGGGAGACATTCTGGGTTTCCCCAAGCTGCCGTGTCCCCTTCTGTAGGCCCTGCCTGCTTTTCCTGGCCACATTTTCCAGACACTTTTATTTATTTTTATTTCATTTATTTAAAGCTTTTATATACTGTCCCACACTAAAAAGTCCCAGGCTGGTAGTACAATGAAATAAAAGTACAGCAGTAGAGGGCAAAGTTCAAATAAAACCCCATCTTAAAACACATTAACACTTAAATTTGATCAACTTTTATTTGATCAATATTTTAACATCAACCAATTGTAATTGTATATGATTTATTTAATTTATTTTAAAAATGTCAGTTTTATGCTCAGTTCATGGAATAGCTAATTTATTTTGTTTAGGATTTACAATAATTCTGTAAGCTTTCCAGAGACGACAGTGATGGACAGGCTATAGATTTCCTACATAAATAAATAAATAAATAAATGGGAAAATAAAAAGGGTTTGGCTTGGCTCTGAAATGAAAAAAGTGTTGGTGCAGGCGCACCTCTCTAGAAAACTTCTTCCATAACCGGGGTGCCACTGCAGAGAAGGCCCTTCTCTGGGTAGCCATTCTTCTGATCTTCAAAGAGGGCTCCCAAGGAAGGACCTGCATATGAGATCTTACGGCGTGGGAAGGTATATATGGAAAGAGATGCTCTTTTAAATATCCAGGTCCTAGGTTGTTTAGGGCTCTATAAGTCATCACCAGCATGGAAGAGCCCACCGCTGAAAGCAATCTGTCCATGGCTTTTCAAGTGTAAATACAGGTGGGGGGGGGGGTCTACTGGAAGAGGGAGGGAGCCTTTCTTACCCTCATGTGGTCCCAACCTATATCACCCCCCTCCATCCACACTGAATGCTTCCACTGGAAATAAGGCTTTCGTGGGCAGTCAAGTAGAGGACATTCTTCTGTTGGAGAAGACACCTTCTTGAAGGTGTACTTGGACTTTAGCTGCTCAGGGCCTCTCACTCCTGCAGATGTGATTGTCTGGCCTGAAATAGCGGAGCAGGGCATCCTCCTCCTTTCCCAGGTGCAGACACAGGTGTGCAGTTGGCAGGGAAAACTGTGCACTGCTTGAAAGAGCATTTGTGGTCAGGGTGACGGGAGCTGTAGTACAAAGCATCTGGAGGGAACCAGGTAGCGCCAAGCTGATGCAAACACCAGAGTCTGGGGCTCTGTTCAGCCGGATTCCTGCCATAAGCAGGCCCTGCAGGCAGCAGGCGTCTCTGATGTTCTCGGATTCTGTGATTCAGGGAGGGAGCCGCTCTCCAAAGGTCCATTCAATATCATGTTGAGTGGTTGTTTCCTACCTGCTTTTGGAAAGCTAGTGGCATTGCTACATACCGGGAATAACTCTTCCTCTTGATTGGATCCTGTGAGTTAAATATAAAAGGTGTGCCTATTTTAATTCCTCCAGGTCTCCTGGGATTTTTCTTACAGCTGCTGCTGTCATTGGCTCAGTGGCAGAATTCAAATGCCTGAATTCGTCTGTATTTGCAAATACAGAAGGAGAATAATAAAAAGAGAGCTAATAATGCATCCTCCTTGACTTGCTTAAAGGGTTTTCAAATTCTTTTTCATCCCAGTCTCCTGTGAGATCTGAGCACTGATTGAAAGTTTATGGTCTATAGAGCTCCTTTTCTTTCACAAAAATAAAATTAAAATTAAAAAAGAGAGATTGAATTACAGGGAGTTGAATTACAGCTGAGACACCTGCTCCATTTATAACCTTTTATCAAGGCCTTATGCCCCACTGCAATTATAAACACTCGCTCTCTTTCTGTGTGTGTACAACTCTGTCCAGCAATTAGTTTGCTGATGGATGGTGTTTTCCTGAATAAGCTACTGTGATTGATGGTATGTTTTAAATTTCCCAGAAGTCCCAAGAAAAGCCACCCAATATTGCCTTTTCTTTCTTGCCTGGGCCATGTCTGTATGCTAAATGGATTCCTCAACACGGAGAGACCCTGCACTACAACCCATGCTCGAGGGTGGTTGTGGAACCATGGGTTGTTGCTGAAACATGGATTGCTGTGCTTTCTGAACCCAGCTGTGTTAACACGACATGGCCCGTTATTGGGCTGTGAAGCATGGGCTCAACTAGATTCAGACAAGGTGACTCATGTGTCAATAAGGATTCCCAGTTCAGCAACAATTCGTGTTCAGCCTTTGAGTAGGAGTTGTTGTATCATCTGGACCCTGCCACACAGAGGAGCACAGGACGCTGGTTCACATGGAGACAGGCCTTGGTCCATTTAGCTTTGTTTTGTCAGCACTGATTGGCAGCAGCACTGCAGGGCTTTGGGCAGGGATCCGCTGCACATCATCCAGAGAATGTCGAGAACAGACTGATCCACCTTCTGCCCACCTTGCAACCAATGCTGCTGGTGGCAGCTGCTGCTTCAAAGTGGGGCAGTCTAGTGGCCCCTTCCAGATCCCTGGGGGAAGTGCCCTCTCGGCCAAAGGTATTAGGCAGGTATCCGCTTTATGAGGGCCTCAGACCAGAGTTACCAAGTGCCAGGAAAACTAGTTGTGCCATGGGCACACAGAAGATCGTAATTAACTCAGAGGCTTTTTAAAGGGGAAAAGTATGTTTAGATAGGATGAAATCATCTTGGAAGGGCACCAGAGGCCAGAAGAGAGTGTGCTTCGTTTCCAGCTCCACGAGCGTGCCTGGTGCTGGCAGGAGGTCTTAAAGCAGCTTTCCTCAATCCGGGGCCTCCAGATGTTTGGGGCTGCAGCCCCAGTCACCCTGACCATGGACGTTCTTGTTGGGGCCGATGGGAGTTGTGGTGTGAAACACCTGGAGGGCAGTCAATTTAGGAAAGGCTGTCTTAGGGGCATAGTAGGTATGATTTATTCCTTTGCTTTATGTATATCCTGCCATTTCTCCAAAGAAAAGGAAGTGGCTTATACAATTCCCTTCCTTTCCATTTTATCTTCACAACACCCTTGCAAGGTAGGTTCAGTTGAGGGCCACTCAGTGGCCCAAAGTCACCTGGTGGCTGAGTAGGGCCCAGAATCTGGATCTTCCAAGTTCCAGCCTAACTCTCTAACCATGATGCCACATTGGCCCATGGACAGCATTTCCATCTGCTCCTAAATCTGCCTGTTCACTCACACTTCCCCAGCCCGAATGTGCCAGAATGTTTGTTTATTGTTGGTGCAGCTACTTAAAATATTTCTTAACTGCCTTTCAGAGCAGGAGCCCTCTCAAGTTGGCATATGACAATAAACAACATAACAAAAATGATGTGGCCTTGAAAAACAATAACCAAGCAACAAAACAGTAAGAGTGCAACAACAGCAACAACAACAGCAAACGTATCAAGGGAAGGCCAAGATAAAAGAGTATAAAAGCTTTCAGTGATGGGGGCTGTGTGCCCCCAAAGGCGACGTATCCCAGGGATGTGGGGCCACTGCAGGAAAGGTCCTTTCACATGTGGTCGGCCTCCTCACAGCTGTCACACATGAGGAGAGGAAGGTCATTTTCACTCATCTTAAAAGTATGGGCAGGCTGATACAGTCATAGGCACCAAAGAAATTTGATCCCAAATCATTTCAGTCTTCACAGCTCAAAACCAACCCTTTAAATCAGAGGCAGAAAAAACAGGTAATCCATGAAAAGGGATGCGGTGGTGCAGTGGGTTAAACCGCTGAGCTGCTGGGCTGGTTGATCGGAAGGTCAACAGTTTGAATCTGCACAACAGGATGAGTT